AATATGCAAGCCCTATATATTGGAAGGTTCATAATCCTTAATTCTAAATATTGAATCGAATTTTATGAGAACAATATTAATAATTTTTTTTTTTTTATTTTATATGAACTCTTTCTTATTGCATTTTCAAATGAATAATTTTAGTATATTATAAAATATTTTATTTAAGAATATATTGTTTCTTTAACACAATGCATAAATAGTATAAAATTAACACAGGACATAAATAGTACTGTATTACATATATATGTACATATTTCATTTCATAATAATAATTTTAAAATATTTTTTAAGATATAATTTAAGAACATAAAATAATAAATATGGTTGTAGTTAATAATATGTATAAATTGTGTACATACAGAATAACGTTAACTATGATAATTCTGAAATACAAACAAATCTTAACGCATTGGAAACACTTAAAGAATTATTTACTCTCTAGTAGACCAGTGGAATATCAAAAAGAATACGCATTTACTCCAAATGTTCATACAAATGCTTATATTAAAATAATCATCGGTGTCCGGCGAGACCAATAATTTTTGTTTGTAGTGTCTTGTCATAAATTGCATTACAGTCTATAACGTGCTAAATCACCTATTCATGTAAATTATACAAAATGTCAACAACGTACTTAAAAAAATGTTTCCGTTGTCTTATGCTTACATATTAAATCCATGAGACATCATGCCAATTTATCAATTTTGAAAAATGACGTCACCCAACTAAATAAAAATTTCTTTTTCTTATATAGATACATGAAAGAGCGAAGAGTACGTATATTTAAACAAGTTTGTTTCGATCTAAAATAAAGTTTTTACAAAAAAATTGGACGAGTGCAATTTTAAAATTCGGAACAAGTCAACTTACAACTTTAGCAATATTTACATATTTTTAGGCAAGCCACACATTTGTATATGCATGTCTAATAATTAAATATTTACTTAAAATAAAAGTAAAATTGTAACAAAATCACAAATATTGTACTTACAAGATTTTGTTATATGTATTGTATAGTACAAGATTTTGTTATATATGTATTGTACTTACAAATTCTTATACATACATATGTATATACATACAAATATTTCATTTCCAGAAATACATACATATATCCATCACTCATCCATATGTATGCAGTTATGCATGTATGAATGAGTGAATGTAGTCATTGTATGAGCATTCAAATATGTAAAAAATTTCAAAGCGTTATACAAAAAAAATCAGTATTATTAATAATGTAAGCATATGTATGTACATACCAAATGCAAAATATGTACATACATATGTATATATGTAATTATTTTGCACAAATGTACATATATATTTACGTATATACATATGTATATTTTGTAATGCCAAATTCCTATCACCATATCGTCATGCATATATAATGTACCGAGTGTAACATATAATAAGTTTACATTAGTTATTACATATTATAAAATAATTATAATAATAAGTTAAAAACACAGTTCCCCTAACAAACCTCTCCCTATTCCTCCCTCTAAGATTTTAATATAACAATTCTTTTTGCTTATATATAAATGCATATGTACATACATTTGCATGTACACACATAAGAATATTATACCTAAACTTTTGACATGCATATATCGGCGTTTTAATTTAAAATTTAATTTTTTAAAAATATTTTCCTACGTACAAATGAGTACTGGTACAAATTGAATATTTCACAGTCATAGATGTAATTTGTGATAAACACACGCATATACGTACATACATACGTATAATGTATACCAAGTACACATTTTATACATCCCATAGCGAAATATTTAGAATGAAAAAAAAATACCGATTACCGGTTGGATAAAAATAAGTAAATTATAAAAACAAAAAAAAAAATACAAAAAACATCTAATTTATTTTGTTTCTACTGCAACTACGTGTGTGTATGTAAAATTTGACTATACATTATACTTAGTTTATAAGAGTTATAAGTAGGTATGTATCTATATGCTTAGCAAACATAGAATTATGAGTGAATTATTATATCGAACAAGTTTATGCATAAAGGTATGTACCTATAGTATAACAAACGATAAATTCTAAACATTTTGTATATCATGAGAGTTTTACTTTGTACCACCATACATACATCCAGACATAATAAGTATTCAGCCCCGTTTATACAAATTTGTATGTTCGGTTTCGGAACACATTTGCTTCTATTCATGTGCTATTCATTTCCAAATAGTCATATAATTTTTATGAATGTTTGTATGCATACATATGAGTAATATTCTTTAATGGAAACAAAAGAACAGGGATTTTATAAAAACAAAAATTTTATACTGTACTAGCTTACACTCACACATCATTATCTTCTATACAAAAAATTGATAATAAATATAAATTTATCATATTCACACACACAAATATGCGCATTCTGTGGGCTCCATTTCTACTATCCAACATTCTCACTAATCTAATTGTGTGTTTGTATGTTTGCAATTGAATTTATTCACGTTACTTGTCGATATATATGTATAATGTAACAACATATATTTATAGTATCTATTAATATGCATACAATATGTGTAAATCCATGTGAAATCTATAAAAAAAATATTTCAATGTGTGTGTGTGTCTAGTTAAATAAAACAATATCAGGTTTTTTCTTACTTCACTTTCCAAAAGCATAAGAACTCAACACAGCATTCAGAAAAAAAATAATAAATTATATTTAAAGTATATACAGTGTTCTATTCATATACAAGTGTATAATAATATTATTATTATTAAATCACACATAACCAAGAAAACCTGATTTTTTTTTTTTGCTTTTTCCTTGATGGTTTATTTTAAAACAAACGTGCTTTCTTGTTCCTTCACAGCAGCATATTATTTTTTTCTATTTGCTTTTATTATTATATTATACATATGTGTTTTTGTTCGTCTCTCTCTCTTTACCGAAGCTTCGATTAATTTACAACTCATTTTTTTTTTTCAATTTTTCTCATTCGCTTTTATAAGTTATAAACATAAGTACGTTCATAGCTATAAAAAACAAAATACATGTATGGCATAATAAAAATAAAGTATATCTGGCAACGTAATCAATATGAAAAGTAAAAAAAAAATGAACAGTTAAATGCCTTTTGAAATCATCGTTTTCATCTTTACAGCAAGCAAAAACAAGCAAAAACAACTACATTAAATAAGCAAAAAAATAAACAAAAGAAAAAACAAAGCAAAAAAATTGTAGTCACGATACAGCAATTTTTCTTTGCATTATTGTTTTGCTTTTTTCTGTATTCTTTGAATTTTTTCTTGGCATGGTTTTATACACAATATAGTGTAGAGAAAATAATATATATACATACATACGAACTCATACATACATAGTTATGTTTTAGGTATACATATAATTTTCTTATCATTATAAATATACGCATAAGTATAGAATAGTGTTATATCTATTGATAGAATTCTGGTATAGATCCGATTATAAAATGGAATTGCGAATGTGTATGTGCTCATTTATATATATACATGCATTCACATTCATATGCATATTATTTAAAATTATAAGTATAGATATTTTCCTAATTGTTTGTACGCCGCTACGTTGCTGGCAGTGACAATCGCTGCATTTTTGTTTTTGTAATTTGTATAAAATTAAAAAAAATGCTTTAAATTCATAATACATATGCAAGGAATTGTCATTTATAAAAATGAAATAATTTATAAATACTTATGTATGCATATTGTATTAGAGAACAAAAAAAAAACCAATAAATTACAATATTCATGTGTGTTTGTGCATTTTTTCCAATGTTTTTTTTTCTTCTTCAATCTAATAAAATATTTATCAATTTTCCATTTTATCTACAGAAAACACACACAATTTAGCGTATAACAAATATACATACATATATGTTTACTTATGCATATTAGGCACATATATGTATATATATTTTTTGACATAACTTTCGTATTCTTCTTTTCCTTTTCTCTTGTTTCCCCTCTCATAAATTTACATATTTTATTTTTGAAAAAACAGTATAGCAAAATTATATCTCGTTTTTAACTGTGTATAACAGTATAGCTATAGAAAATTTTTATAATATGAAATAACTTATAGTTTGGTTGCGTATTTATTTGGTACTTAATATATAATACTATACATATGCATTAATTAATATTTTATTAATTCACAATATGTGTATACATAGTTTAACATGTTCCTAAAATTCACAATATATAGTTTGTGACAAAAAAAGCCAAAAGTAACTAAGTATTTGTGCGATAAACTTTTTTTTTCAGACTTTTTAAATGTGTTTTCCTGAAGTAGTGTTAGTTGGTAGCACGAAACGAAACAAGAAAAAAAATTTTCTTTTTTATTATGGCGTGGTTGAAATGGAAATAAAATATAATATTTTAAAAATAAAAAGTGATGGATTTATACTACATATGCATGAATGTATAAAAATAAAAAGAAACATTTATATATACACATGTACGTAACTATATATATATATATATCTTTATATCTGTAGAATTTTGGTATAGAGTCTATTAATGTAAATGTAGTGGAGCAGTGTGAAATCCGAGTCCAAATTTTCGTTTCGATGTAGTCAAGTGCGAATGTTCTTTTTGTGAAATTGTGAATTTATAAAAGCGGATAACTTTAACATTTTCAAAGAAAAAAATTTTTTTTTCTATTGGAAAATTTAAAATAATAAAAATGTAATGGTTTTATTTATTAAAGAAAATAAAAAGCAATAAAAAAATGAATAAATAATTTTTAATAATCAAAAAAATGTTTTAAAAAATTGAAAGTTTGCAATAAAAAAATTATTTGAAAAACTTATTTTTCAAAAATATTTGAAATATTTCCTAAATGTATGAAATTTTTTTTTCAATTTTTTTAATAATAAAAAAAAGTGAAAAAATTAATTTAAAAAAAAAAATAAATTTCTAGTGAAATTTTTTTTGTAGCTAAAAATGATTTAATCATTTTTGTGGTTTAATAAAGTGAAAAAAAAATTACATCGGCAAATTTTTGTAATGTAAGCGCACAAATTTTCATTAATTTTTAAGGATCGAAAAAAAAATTAAAATTTATAACTCAAATTAAAAAAAAATTAAGGAAAAATATAAAAATATTTAAAACTAAAGATCTATTGTAGTTACACCATTGCGAATGTGCTGCATAAATTAAGGCAAAATTAATTTTTACCAGAAAATAAAAAATTCAAAATACCCCAAGTAAAACTGTTAAAGTTGAAATTTTTTTTTAATGTACCCCAATAATTCTTATTTCTTATTAAAAAGCGGTGAAATGAATTTTAAAAAATATTTTCATTTTTACATTAAAAAAACTTAAAAAATTAAAAAAAATTTTTTTTTTGTGGAAAACAAAATTAACAACAAAAAAAATATATTCAAATTTTAAAATAAAAATTTTAACTGAAAGAAGAATAAGAAAAAAAAAATTAATTTTCAATAATTAATTTTTTTTTTAATATAAAAAAAAAAATTATTTTTTTGTATTTTAAAAAAATATAACCAAAAAAAAAAGCCGCCAAAATTGATCGTGATACAAGTGCTGGCCGTTTTGTCAAAATGTCTTTACAGACACGACGGCAACATTGTTATTTATGCGACTTACCTCGCATGCCATGGGCAATGTTAAATGAATTTTCAGAGGCTGTATGCCGTGGATGTGTTAATTATGAAGGACCTGATCGTATTGAATTAGTTTTAGAACAAGCAAGACAACAGAAACGTTTACATCAAGCTGCAAAACGTTCACATGAAAATGGTGATATACAACAGCAACAACAAGTTGCTGCAGCTGCTGCTGCTGTTGCTGCACAACAAAGTCATCGTGTTGTTAGTGCTGCTGCATTAGGTGCACCAACTGGTACAACATCACATCATCAAACATATACAACACATCGTATCGGTGGGCCACAAGGTCCAACATTAATGGATTTTACACCAAAAATGGAACCACATGAAGCAACAGTAAGACCAGTCAGAATATCACATATGACACCACATCATAATATACCAATGTCAACAAGGCAAATAGCATCAGCTGCTGCTGCTGCTGTACATGGTGGTCAACCAGGTGGTCCAGGTGGTGTTGTTGGTGGACCATCAGCAGTTGCATTATCAGTTAATTTAAAAAGACCACCACCAGATGATGATGATCATACAACTGATGGTGGTCCAACATCGGTCGGTTTAAAACGTTCAGCAACTGAAGAAACACCAGTCGGTGGTGTTGGCGGTGTCGGTCGTCCACCGTTAACGCGCGGTGAATCTCTACCTGCGGTACCGTTTGTACCAGAAAGGCAACCTAGTTTTAAGGACAAACATCCAGTGAGAGCACCATCATTTGATGCATCAACATTTAAGGGTGGCGGTAAGTTGTGAAAAATTTCTTAACAACGTTTTTTTCTTCCATTTCGTTTTTTTGTTTTTGCTTTAAATTTTAATTTTTGATATTTGCATTATCAAAAATCATTCAAAAATTTTTTATTATATAAATTTATTTTAATTAAGAGTAATAATTAAATTTATATACATTTTATATAAAATATTCATTATCATAATAGGTTCTTACAATTAGTATGAGTTGATTTGCGTATGAGCTTAAAAACAAAAAATATTTTTGACATTTTTGTCATATTGGTTCTAAAAATTCCTGATTGCAAAAAATTTTGCAAATAAAAAAAATGTAATAAATGAAAATTAGTTTAAGGTATAAAATTAAAAAAAAAATACAAAATAAAATCTATATAAAGAATTTAAATAAAATATTTAAAATTTTATTCAATTTAATTAAAAATAGATAGCTACTTAGGCTTTTATTAATTAAATAAATCAATTTTTCCCTTAAATTCACTTATGAAACATTGACAATATCCCAAGCTAATATTGAAAAAGTAACACGTTAATGTCAACGAACTTTTTCAATTGCTTATAAACGGGAAAATAAAAACATTCTTAAATTTTTTTTATACACTTATTATTATCACTACCTTTCACAAACAGACAACACACTGTCAATGACGTAACTAAGGCGTAAAGTTAAGCTTCAATAACGTAGACATAAAAAAAAACCAAAAAATAAAAAAAAAATAGATATTTATGTATGGTAGTTTATAAAGACTACTGTGAATTGTTACGATTGAATTAAGGTATAAAAATTTTTGGGGGGAGGATGGGAGAGGAAATTTTATTAAATAAAATTATTAATAAACAAGAGGTAACTAAGTGAGTGTATATTTGTTTTTTTATTATTTGAATAAATTTCAATTATAAATGTGTATTAAGTTTTTTTTTTAATATTGTTATTGATAAATAAATAGTTTACTGTCAAGCTCATAATTACACAATTTAACCTTCAACTGTATACGTATAGGGTAAAAATAAAATTAAATTTAAAAAAAAAAGAGCTTTTGCTCTAATTTTCGAAAACATATAAATAAATAAATATTTACTTACTTAAATGTTGTCTAATATTTTTAACTTGGTTGATATTTTAATTTTATTTTTTTCTTTATTTTGGTTCTATAATTATAGAATTTAAATTTTTTTTTTACGAAGCTACTCTTAGCACGTAAATTTTTTAATTTAAATTTGGTACCAGGGCAATTCAAATATATTCCCGATTAATATATTTGAATTGTTCTGGTACAACGGATTCAGAAAATAGAATTAAATTGGGAAGAAATATTTGAACATATAAACTAGAATAAATTACTAGGGCATCTTTAACATTTAGCTAATGAGAAATTGCAAAATATTTTTATATTTTACTTTTATTTACTAAAAATGAATACCAAGTACTTAGTTAACATAAATTCAATTGACGATTTAAAAAGCTAGCTCTATGTAAGTAATTATTAGAATTGAACACAAAACAATAAGAATATAAATTTTATAATTAAAAAGTAAATATGTAAATTGACAAAAAAAAAGAAATCCAAGCATGCAAATAAGTTTTAAATAGAAGGTACGATTTAACAATTAACTTCACACCATTGTGAATCAAAAACTCAAAATTTGTAAATTACATGAAATTTACTTTATGCAGAGAAGATACTCTCATTTATGTTATATACAATTTAATATAATATTATTATATTTATACATGTGTATTAACCCATTTCAAACTAACATTCATAAAATGAAAAATTAAAAGCTACCAAAGTTTTCCAAAAATTTTTAAGTTCTTACTAAATTTTTTTTTTCAAACTAAAATATTTTTTTGTAACAAAAATGTGGTTTTTATTTGAGTTCGTCATCTGACCATAAATGCACCTATCTACCAATAATTGTGTATTTCTTTTAAAACTACATACATATTATACCTACATATTATAAATCAAGGCATGTATCATGTATCAAGAGTTATTTATTCAAAAAAAATGCATAACAACTTGTGCTTACATAAGTACCTATTGTAATTTTCACTCAACTTTACACAGAAAAAAAAAAAAACAAAAATGAAAATAAATAAAACCAGTTAGAGTCAGTAAAAATGAAGAGGTGCCTACCATTAAAAGTCATTTCAGTTAATAAGTATACTTGCATACATAGTTTCATTAATAATCATTAGAGTTGGACAAAAAAAAATAAGATAAAAATGGAAAACGGGTTAGACAAGTAAGTAACAGGTAATTCTTTTCGTTTTTTGTTATTTTTATTATTCCTCTCTCTTTTCTCGTATAACTTTTTTTTTTCTCATCTTAATAATCCAGTTTTATTCTTGTTTTTTTTTTTTCTGAAATTTTAATGCAGTCACACTGCATAGTTGTGTTTGAAAATCAATGTAAAAAAAATTTATTAAATTTTTTGTTTTTCTAAATAGTTTTTAAGGTAATTATGTTAATATTAAGCCCAGTTTCTGTTATCGAATTGTTATAATTTATATACATATACATATATAACAAATGTAAAGAGAAACTTTTATATTATTTTTTTATTTTAAATAAGTAAAACTCTGTTCTGTATGCTTGAAAATTTTCCCCTCGGAAAATTTTTATTAATTCTTCGAGTATTTGTAATACAGATTTAAATGATACAAATTTGAATGATGATGATCATCAGGATTTGGGATTATTTTAATTGGATGTGTTTCAAAAGTGTTTTCTTTTGATATACAATAATTTTGTTATTTCGTGTAATTTACATCAAATTCCTATTCGTATGTACATATATTTTTTAAAAATGTACGAATTTCTTTAGAAGAATCCTATAAATTACAAACATTGATACAACATACACATTTTGAATGATCACAAATTTCGCAAGTAGAGATTATTAATAAAAGCAATTGCAACATTATATTTCATTTATTTAAAATTACTCTATTAGTTCGCAGTAGAATTTTAATACTTCGGAACTGACAATACTCAATGATATTCGTAATTTTTCGAATTTCAGGCTCGCCAACGGATTTCATGAAAGGGCTGTATACTTTATTAGATAGGTACAAAATTTTTTACAATCCTTTGTTATTTTTGATTATACTATCCCCGGATGTTGTTTTATTTTTTGGAACTTATTAAGAGACAAAAATTTAAATAAAAGCACGTATCCATATTTATAATTAAGTTCTTGATATATTATGTCTTTTCGTAAAAATATGTAGGTACAATTAACAAATTTATACAATCAATGACAGTAAGTTGTTTGAGGTTATTTTATTGCGCTATGGGTATGCTTTATGCTATATAACATGATAATGTAACAACATACCTACCAACCTGTTAAACAACTAATTTTCTATTTCTTCTTTTTAAAAAAACAAGTTTTGTTTTTTTGCTGCTAAGAGTTAAAAACACAAAAAAAAAATCAAAACATAAAAATAAGAAAGATAAAATATTTTCATTTTCCCTTTACTTACCATCACAGTCACTTCTTTCTTGTTGTTAATCTTGTTATACTACAACAAAATCATTTTTCTACATTGATGTCGAACACATGATATTGTTGTTGTTGTTACTGTTGTGTTGTAATTGTAAAGTTATAAAACTTGATTACACGTTATAAAATTTTTCATTTTTTTTTTCATTTGTTTTATTGTAAATTACTTTTGCAACAACAATAATCACAATATTCACAACACAACACGACGACACAACTCTCTCATATTATCATTAGCCGCAGCATCCAATTTTCTATGCTTTTTTTTTGTATTTTAACTTTTTACCATGAAGTTTTTTGTTTGTGTGTTTTTTTTTTCGTATTACTTTCGTACCTGTATTTCAGGTATAGGAAACATTTTCATAATAATATGTAGACAAGAATGGTTTTTGTTTTTTTTTTGCAGTTTATTTTTTTGTTTGTTTCTTGTTTAGATAGCGTAACCTCTTTAAAAAAGAAAGGTCAACAAACCAAAGTTTGATTTGTTTCGTATTTCGTTATTATTATAATTTGTGTTTTTATTTTTATTGCTTTTTATTTTTTATAAAATTTTTTATATAACCATTATAATAACAGAAATAAAATACCGTTATGTTTTGAATGAAGTTTTTCTGATTATTTTTCTTTTTCTGCATTATTTTCATTTTAAGTACATACACATATACAAAAGTAACATAAGTATAGACACATTTTTCAATGGCAAGAAAAGAAAAAAAAAACAGATACTTGGTTACTGCTTTCTTATTTTTTTATATTTTTTGTTACAAACCAGTCAGTCCTATGTTTAATAAAAAAAAATTTAAAATATGTAAGTATGATAGTAAAAATAAAATTCGATAAGAAAGTTTTTTTTTTTTTTTCGTACTTTGAAGAAAAAGTTGCCAGTTACCAAGTTTTACATATATATATATATATATATATGCAGCTGTACACAGGAACGAATATCATAAGAGAAATTAATGAAACTTAGAAAAAAAACTATATGTGATCTGTAAGCATTTTAAAAAGTGAGACAAATCCGCTTTTAAAATATTGTGTTTGATGAAAAAACTATTTTTAAAAAATTTCAAAAATTTATAAGATTGGTATGGGCATTAGATATGGGAGTAGTAGTTATTTAATGCTTATGTGTACATATATCCTTAACAAGTCATTGTAAAATAAAGTAATGTTAATTTTATATTCAAAAATTATTAAAAATTGTGGGGTAATTACAATTAATATGATGGTATCTATAATATGATTTTCCAATTCTACCTAGGGCTACTTTCAGTACATTGTAATTGTAATTATTTCGTGTAATTTTAAGAGAAGAAAAACTTTACTAAGGCACATTGATTGTCGAAAGTAAATAATTTTCAATGAAGGTATAGAAAACATTCAAAGAATGTTAAAATTTTTGCTAGTCTACTATATAGAAAATAAGAATTGTTGAATTATTTACAATGTCTGTTTTTATTTACAATTTTTGACTATTAACTATATATA